GAATCTTGCTGGCACCAAAGATAATGAAGGACTGCTGCATTCAAGTACCGGCCAGCCCTCAACTGAGACTTGAACCAACAAATCCCAATCAGAGGGCAGCTGATGGTGTGCTTGCCTAGAGGGCAAGAGTCCCACATGCATGCTCAGACTTTTGAGAACCAGGGACTAACCCAGGCTAAATAGGACAGTGGAATTGTTTCCATTGGAAACAAAGCAATAAGGATCTGGGAGTGCCTGAAGAAGAAAACTGGAATTTGATCTTCTCACCAACCCTGTTCTATGCACTGAGATGTTAAAATCTGATTCCAGAAAAATTTCCATTTTATTCTTGCTTTATAATTTCTGAACCATTCAAATATGGGCAAAACAATTTGTAATGAACTTTTTGTTCTTCTTATTCAAACTATTTTCTTGTCCTATAGGGAGGTGGATGTCATAAGCTGGAGCTGTTTGTAGGGTGAGAATAACAGAACTAATTTGAACTCATTTCAAATAATGACTTAGGGGCCGGCTTCTTAGGAAGGGCCTGCCTTTCTTATCTGTAGATAAAACTACTTAATGGAATTACAGGAGATCTCTCATAGACACAGCTTTCTAACATCCTTTCTGAAAAGAGATAGGGCATTGACAAAATAAACCGTCAATACCAATCAATACGATAAATGGGGTGTTAGTCACTCCTGTTCCATCTGTAAACAGTAAAGTCCTTTGACTTGAAGGCATTGAGTTTTTAGAGTTTCTTTTGCTCTTTTTCCTGTTTCATTCTGGGTTAGTCAAAGGTAAACATTGTCTTCTTTGAAAGATCAAGATACTGCTCAGAAACAGTGTCTGCAGAGATCATGTCCATACAGGCTAAGAGCAGGTGCCTTCAGATTTTGACCCTCATCTCACACCTGCATATAAAAACAACTCAAAATTAATTATACTTATTCCTAAGACCTGAAATTATAAAACTACTAGAAGAAAACATAGGAGAAAGGTCCACGACAGTGGTTTGGGCAATTATTTATGGATATGACTTCAAAAGCACCAGCAGTAAATGCAAAAACAGACAAACAGGATTACTTCAAACCAAAAAGCTTCCGCACAGCAAAGGAAACAATGAGCAGCAGAATAAAAAGAAAAATGCAGCTCACAGAATGGGAGTTTATATTTGCAGATAATATACCTGGAAAAGGGTTCATATCCAAAATATATTAGGAACTCAGATAACTCAATAGTATAGAAACAAAATAACCTGATTTTAAAATGGGCAAAGGAACTAAATAGATAGACAGTTCTCAAGAGACATACAAATGGCCCATAGGTAAATGAAAAAAAAAAAGAAATTCAACATCACTAATCAACAGAAAAATGCAAATTAAGACACAATGAAATATGACCTCACACTTGATATAACTGAAGGGCTACTACTAAAAAGACAAACGTTAATAAGTATTGGCAAGGATGTAGATAACTTGCACACTGTTGGTGGGAATGTCAATCAATATGTGCATTATGAAATACAATACAGAAGTTCCTCAAAAAAACTAGAAATAGGATTAGTATATGATCCAGCAATCCCACTATAGGGTATATTTATCTAAAGGAAATGAAATCAGTATGCTGAAGAGTCTTCTGCAGACCTACATTCATTGCAGCACTATTCTTAATAGCCAAGAGATAGAAACAACCTAAGTTGATGAATGGATGAAGAAAATGTGGTGCATATACATAATGGAATATTATTTGACCTTAAAAAAGAAAAATCCTGTTATTTACAACCATCGATAAGCCAGGCACAAAGAGACAAATACCACATGATCTCATTCTATGTGGACAATAAGGAAGTAGAATTCATAGAAACTGAGTAACATGGAGTTTGCCAGAGGCCAGGGGTGGGGAGATTGGGGAGAAGTTGGCCAAAAGACATAGAAGTTCAGTTAAGAGGAATAAATTCAAAACATCTATTGTATATCACAATGACTATGATTATAACAAAATATTGTATGCCTGAAACTTGTCAACAGGGTAGATTTTAAGTGTTCTCACCACAGAAAATTGATAAGTATGTGATGCAAAGAATATGTTCAATAGATTGATTTAGACATTCCACAAGGTATTCATATATCAAAACATCATGTAATATATACAAGTTTACTAGTATCATTGTAAACATTATATATATAATGTTTACAAGTCATTTAAAATATTGTTTTTAAAAAATACACCAATCGGCATCTGAACCCCAGCTCATCACCCTCTATGTTGTATATGACACAGGTAAGTGGTTTATTCTCTGTAGATTATCTTCCCTTTTGTACAATGGGAATAGCAATATTTACTACCTCACTTGTTTTGTAAATCAAAGAGGACACAGAATGCACCTATGACAGTGTCTGGCATATAGAAAACAGCTACTACACACTCGTTGCTCTTGTTATTCCTATAGTCCTGTTTAAAAATCTGAAAAGACGATCCCCTGCGGGGGAGGGGAGGGGGGGAAAACTTTGGTGCCCAAAGATAAAGATATAAACTTCTTATCCTCAGTTTTCCCATTTAAAGAAGAAGAAAAAAAAAGGATAATACACACAGCAACGGTAAGAATTAAGTAAGAAAACACATTTAACAGTAATTTGTAAATTTAATATACTAGTTTTGTCCGTTAGTGCTCTTCCAAGAAGCCATAACTACTGTCATGTGCTCAAAGACTCATGCAAAATTTCCAGACTCAGGATTAAAGACGATGAAGATAAGCTGCTTCTTTCTTGATGAAAACGCACAAACACACACAAGAAAAGAATCATTTGGGGGGTTAAGTGGCATGTGTTCAGATTTTAAGAGAGTTAACATTTGTGCCTCATGGTTTGCAATAATGAGTAATAGAGGGAAACAGTTAAACATTTATGCAGGCAGAGTAAGAGCTGGATTTGGCTTTAAAAAAGCATTCCCAATCCTGTTGGTTTCTCTTCCGGCAAAATGCAGAGATAATATAACAAAATATAGATAAGGCCATCAGAATAACATCCTGAATCTGATCTCAGTGGATTTGTTCTTGGGAACAAGTGCCAAAGCATCCCCATGGTACAGACGTGGCCTGCTTTTGAGGTCAGAAGAAGGAATTTTCCATCTTGAGCAAGCTTGTTCTAATACAGATTGCCAGGCACGACCACCTCGGAGTCTCAGGTTCAGAAATTATGGGGGGTTGGGGGGCTGAGATTTGTACTTCTCACAGGCTCCCAAGGGATGCTTATGGGAACACTGGGAGTAAGGCACAGTTTGTAAACCACTGATCTTTAGAGGATCTAAAGGCGTTTCTGTAGTAATCCTCCACTCCACAAGGATGTTGGAGGAGAGCTCAATGGTATTACTCTTAAAAAGTAGCTCACTCTTAAAGGTGAGAAATTGGAAGTAAGAGGGTTGACATGATGGTCAAGAAGTGCCATGACTGGTGGAGGCATCTGTTCTGCAAACCAGATGCCTCTGACCCCAGTGCCCTGATGAAATCTCTAATTCAAAGCATCTGGAAGTGCCCAGCTGGTCCCCAGGAATGCCAAGTAAGGGCAAAGGAAGTCGAGGTGGTCACTGTTGACACCTTGATCCAGAGAGGAGAGCTGCAGGCAGAGGCTGGCTTTTTGTCCCATCTCTCCACTGTTCCTCGAGCATTCCAGATGCTACCCGATTCCCAGCTGTAACTGAATCCCCAGCCCATGAAAAGCAGCATTGTTATTGCAACTGAGCAAAGTTTTTAACACCGACCTGAATTTTTTTTTTTTTTT